TTTTGAGTTGAATGTGGACAAGATGTTTGGTTTGAAATTACTTTTGGACAGGGAATTAGACGCATTTGATGATTTTGTTCTTTACATTAAGTTGCACTTATCTGGTCTAGCATTCAAACTAAGACATAGAGTCAATAGTGGGATCTGGACTAATCCGTTTAAAACTGCAATTTTAATTTATTTAAATCAATACAAAAATGTAGGGGCTGCTTAAAAGAGATGCTAAGGCGAACGTCTTCCTCCACTGGCGATAAAAAGTAATTAAACCTTAAAACATTTTAAATCCACAAATCTCCCATTAATCCCATAATAACATAACTCTCCTTGTAATCAATTCCAAAATGTATCCCAAAACACAGCTGTCTTTAAATGTGCTGAAAACTTTGGAACCTCGTAATGATTCTTCCCTCACTTTACATTGCTGAAGTGAATGCGGTTTTTGTGGCAAAAGTGTCATAATAATCAATTCAAAGTGTAATCTCGTAATTGTTATTTTCACTGGAGAAAACTTTTCAATGAACTGTGACTTAAAGAATGAGCATATGGCTTATATTGATGACTACGTAACTTTTACAAGAATGCTAAAGATTGAATTCAACCGAAAGAAAAGAATTCTGAATTAATGAGCTACAAATTGACTTTTACGATCGTCCACATATTTCATTTTATTTGTGAACGTAATCATTAATTAGAAAATTAATTATGAAATTACTTTACGACTCGACTTAATAATCCATGTTCATAAAAAATTGACATTCGAGAGTTGTTAAGTAATTAATTTTATTAAGTAAATTACCCAGCCGTGAAAACGCACTCAATTTTCATTTCATTTTCTTTTTCTTTTGGGGCTATTAGCTTTTGATGGGATTGGTTTCAATGGGTCCCAAAAAACCCCAAAAGTCAAGTCCATTGATTTTAGATAAAACGGTGGGTGACTTTGGATAATAAGCTGGGCAAGGGTGTGGAACTGAGAATTACATTTTGATCATTTTTGATAATTTTTTGATCATTTTTGATCATTTCATAAGTACCACACCCTTGGATCTGGGTGACACATCGATTGGAAAGTTAAAAATTGGACAATAAAGTTTTTTGAACCCCCTCATCCCCCCCCCCCCCCCATCCTCTCTCTTCCTTATCTGACATTTCTTTTGTGGGAATTGTTGCAGACTCTAAGATCCAGAGGAAAGCGTTACGAAATAAAAAAATGGCTCTTTTAGTATTAATTGTAGACCTCATTTGTGGAGGACCCCCCATAATTCTCTGCAAAAATTATGTTCATCTCCTCTTTCACTCAACGTCATGATGAATTAAAACATTTAATATTTTTACAAACCAGAAAAAAAAAAAACCTGAAATAGAACGGAACATTTTCATCGTTCGCTTTACATTGTAATGATGAAAGTCTCATAATCTAATTAATTAATGCATTTATGAAGGAAGAATATGAAAGCGTTTTTATCATTATTGATCGTCAAGAGTAAAATTTATGGGATTTTATTATTAAAATTTTATTAAATGAATAAATGATAATAATGGTGGATTATTAATTTTTTGTGGAAATATTATTCAAATGAGATTTATTCAAGACATGATAATTGCATTATTATGAGTCTATTTGAGGATTATTATTCGAATAAAGAATAAGATTCATGTCAAGTGACCAGACTATAGGGGAAATGGGAAAATGTTGAAGTGTGAATGATAATGCTTTAATTCCGACAGTTTTATTGATTCTTCCAGATACTAATACTCGGTCTGAAATTAACTGATGAAAGTTTTTTATTCTTGCTATGAAACTTATGTTTTATACTATTTAGATGGAAGTTTTGAAACCCAAATGGCATTTCTAATCTGTTTTGAATCAATCCCAGCCCCCTTCCTACTCTTACCAATTAAATGGGCAATAATTTCAATAGTTTATCAATTTGCAGATACTCCTTACCAATGTAACTTTATTTCAGCCTAAACAACATCCCCAAAATCAGTACAATACCATTTTAATGCTTTAAGTCATTTTGATCCAAAAACATATTATTAATCCTAAATTAGATTTACTGTACATGAAATACACCATTAATTATTCTCCAGATTAGTTATCCAATTTTAACAAATGTGATCATTAATCACCCAGTCTAATTATCAGGTTCCATGTCATTAAATGAATAAAACAAAAAAAAATCAGTACTATCAAGTCCAGTCTTTTCATCTCAATTTTTGTTGCGAGCTATAAAATATCTCTGTTATTGTAATTGAGATTGAGTAATGAGCGTAGTTCAAGGGTGTTCATTGATTTTTTTTTCCGACAAAATCCTCAATGTTCAAGGATATTAAATATTTTATCAGATTGAGCTCAATTTTCTAAGAAGATATAAGCGTCTTTGCATAAACATGTTGAAATAAAATGAAGAGCTTTTAAAGAAATTTAGAACAAAAAAAAAGCTTTAAAAAATTGATGTAGAACGACTGGCCAAAATCCAACTTCACAACTGTTTGTAAACTTCATATTCTTTAAATCTTATGATGCTTAAGTGGTTTTTAAATATTTTAACAAACATTTGTAATTCATGTAAAGGGATTTCTTCATCCTCATAATTATTATTAAGTCGAAAGCTGTTGAGAAAGTACAAAATGATTTCAAAAACATGCAAATTTTGCTTAAAATGAGCCTCTCTTGAGTCATTTTCGATGATTCTGCTAAAATCATATAGAAACTATCTTTCGTTGCTGTATTAAAATTAGGTATTACATGCAAACGTACATCCTTAAGCCAAAAATGCAAACACATTGTGAAAATTTACTTTGTAGATTTTCAAACTTCCGGAATCAGCAAATCACGAGTTATTAATTAACACATGTTTATTTTAAGACGATTCAAATGAAAACAGTCAATTGGATGTAATTAATTATCAGAAGTTAGTACCTGACAGAAATTCTACAAGAATTAACAAGTTTTGTGGATTTTCCAAGACATCAAGGCTTAAATTATTCAACTAATCCATTTTTAGACACAAATATTTATGTACATTCGACTTTGTGGTGAATCTATCGTGAATTATCAATTATTTAACGGCTAGTTATTTTACGATAAGGAATATAGACTTTTGTTATTATGTACACTATGTAATATACTTTGTAGGAACGAATAAAGCTATGTGTCATTTTTCGTAGACAAGAAAAGACTGTATTTACAGCACATTCTCATTTTATTGCATATTTCATTATGAATTATGGGCATGTGTTCTAGTTTTCAGGGAAATTCAACAGACTTCATCGTGAAGGCACTGCCATAATTAATAAAAGTTGACATTTATTGAACGTAAATCAATTTTTCATTGAAATTTTTGAAATGCTGAAGCTCCGTCGATCAACAAAAGTATCATTTTCTTTGTTTTACTTATGCCTACATACATTCACACACATGATAAATGGAACAATATTTCAAATTTTTTTTTGTTTTTGTTTCACGTTTTCATTAAATATTTAGTCAGTTTTGTGAGACTCTCATTTAATGATGAATTGAAATATATTACAGGTAGGTGGATGTAGATCTCCCTATAACATATGTATATACTAATGTAAAACAAGTCGGGTTTGATGATAATTGAACCCGAGACCTCAAAAGAGGCGATCTCTGACCACTCGATTAGAGATCCCTGCCACTCGGACTTCGAGGTATTTATCTCACTTCGGTTATCCATCATACACGCCATATAACCAGTTTCAACGAGAGCCCTAAGCTCAGGTCTTTCTACTATAGAAATGCTCTTCGAGCAGCGGAATCGCACTGAATGGAGGGAAGAAGGAATTGAATTAGATTTTTTTTGACTATTTTGAAGAGATGGTTTTTTACATCCAAACCCTCTGCCATACTTCTTTGGTTCAAAATTTCTGCTACAACACCCCAATCCCCCATTATTTAATGATATAAATAATAATGTGCTTGTGTTCCAGTCAAGTGATGTATTTTTACACGGTACGACGAGCTAAAGGCTCTGCGATCCTAATCGATGAAAGACCCTATTGCCCTACCCCTCATTTACTTCTCGAAATATGTATTTGAATCGTTTCATTTTAAAATTTTAAAACGTTTTTCAGTTAATTTCGGATGCAATCTTGAACTTAAGCAATCTGTATAGTTCACACTTTAGGAATGTATTTATGCAGGGCCGTAGCTATAATTTTTGAAACTGAAAGCAAACCAATGTCATGAATTTTTATGGCTTGATGATGATTTTTTGATAGGCTATTCCAGTGTTGTCCAAACTGTGTGCTATGGCACACTGGCGTGTCCTTAGGTGTGCCGTGGAAAAATATCTAAAGTCAAAGTGGGCCGTTACTGAAAAAAGTTTGGACAACACTGGGCTCCTGTAAAAATTAAAATGCTTTAATCTTAGCAAAATATGGCGAATTATTGCAATATATTAAAAATTTTGCCCAAGAAAGTGTAGACTGGCACAGAATTTCGAGAACGGCTAGAATTTTTTTAAGAGTGAGCTTTTATTTCAGCTTCAAAACACATAAATGGCCTCAGCCGATTGAGTATTTTTGAGAAGCAGTACAGTTCATATCCAATACTTTTTATGATTTTCCATAAAAATAATAAAGTGTCTATGCCTCGAATGAATCATTAAATTATTTTTTAATCTTGTTTTGTTTATTAACGAGAATGATTAAAAGATCTGATATTTGGAAGCAATAAACGTTAGCATTATTCCAGAACGTTCTATAAAGTTCTTATTGCGTATGAGAATGAGAATGAATTTTTTGCAGACACAAAATTATTTGCAGATTGCCCAATAGATAATTTATTTATAAAATAATAACAATAACATTAGTTGTCACGGTGAAATATTTCGATGCACTGTCTTAGTCTAGAAAGTGTAGCCATAGCATTTTCATAAAATAAATTCCATCCTCAAAATGATGCTAACTTCCACAAAGTATTTTATAGATATTTAAATGATCATAATTGTGTTTGATGTCAGCATTTAACTTACACTTAATTAAACAATTAAACTGATGATTTTTTTTTGGGTCTTTTATGAATCAATTCCAACTTTTTTTCTCAAACGATCAAAAATTAATTAATTCTTTTTTTTAATTAACAAAAAACTATCACCGGCATCACAAACTTTTTACTTTTTTTAATCACTTATTTTTTTTTTTGTAAAGTTTTACGGCCTTTGCTTCTTCGTTTCCACTTTAAATAAATATCAGACTTTTTTTTTCAACAATTTAATATGTGTACACATATGCTGTATGTTGTATTATCATCAACTTTGATGGCACCTTTTAGTAGCATGTCGAGATGGATCAACATAAGTAATTCTTATGTATGTACAAAAACTGTCATATTTTATTTCTTACGGCAACAAACAGATGAGAATTCATTAATTTTCCTGTCTTGTTAACTTTTTCTGAAGACAACAAAAAAAAGTATTAAAATTTTGTCAATTCAGAGAATCCGTTTAAACATGCGAAGTTAAAGAATGAAACTGAAGTTTATTTTTTTTTCGGTCTAAACAATTTCACAGTTTTGTTTTGTGTGTTTTGTGAGCATTTCGTCTACTCAGACTCTTTTCTGTGAGAGTCATGAAACTTATTGTGTAAATGGAACATTTTACTCTCTCATTCCCGCTACTTTTTGGTTACTCGAGCAATTTTATGCTCACAAATGAGAGAGCGAACACGTGGTGAGAGACGAAAGTTCTTCTTACGTCCACAGCACTTTATTTTGTGTGTTTTGAAAATAGAAAAAAAATGAATTTTCACACAAAGTGCTGTAGACATAACAATCATTGACTGCTCTCGTTCCTGAATCGAACTAGCAAAAAAATAAATTTGAAGTCTCATCTGGGGTTGATCACAAATTACGTATATTAAAATCCAAGGGCATCGAACTGATAAATTATATTTTGAATATTTCATCAGTTCCGTAACCTTGTAAAAATCCTTAAATTTGGCACCAGCTGCCATAAAATGAACATTGTCACATATTCTCCTAAACATCATTTATGAACAACCCCATCTCATTCTAAAAATGTTTGATTGATACTAATGGTGCCATAATTCACATTGAAAGTGCTGACAATGTCAACACATACATATTGTGGGTTACTGAAAATGTATTTTTCGTTAAGATGACAAAAAAAAATTGCTTAACGAAAAATCAGCGTTGTTCATTTCAGATTGAATAATGACGATGCTTGGGGTGATGTACAAATTTTTAAATTATTGAGTAATTTTTACTTATAGATGACAATGTTAATCTGCTGAGACAAGAGAAAATAAAGCCTTGAAATATCCGGGATTAATACAATTTGTCACAAAATACAAGATTTTTTTTTAATTCCACTAGTATTGCTCTCTGCTATAAATTTATAGTCACAGATGTGAAAATTATTATTTGAATTTGTTGTTGTTGTGTTGTCCGAATGCAGAGTTGGAAATTGTGATATTTTCATAGCTAGGCTCAGCTTTACTCAGCTTATGTTCGGTTCTTTAAGTTCATACTTTTCTACTTAGAAACTCTCACCTTAAAAAATATATGTTGAGGTTTTAAAACTTGTTTAATGAAGCAAAACATGAGAAACTCTGTTGGAGAGAATGAGAGTTGAAACAGGAACCAGACTTTAATGTAGTTACTTCTGAAAACTCACAGTTTCACTTCAATAACCGAATAGCACAAGTCGGATAATCAAGATGAAATCCTACGCAAGGACTTGAGGACTCACTTGAGCGTGAATTTGTCCACGTGCAGTGTTGTCCAAACTTTTTTCAGCCACGGCACACTTTGACTTTAAATATGCACTTCAGTCCATCTTATCTAGTGTAAAATCTACACATTTCTGAAAAACTACCTATTTTAAGGGTTTTTAATATTTTTTCACGGTACATCTAACGATGTTCTACGGCACACAGTTTGGACAACACTGTTCTAGCGTAAGATTTCGTCTCGATTTACCAACTTGTGCTATATATCTAATGTCTATATAGATTTTTTAATTTGCAAGTAATGAGTAAATGAACATCCCTTCCTGACCCCCCACCTGACCCCCCTCCTCCATTCTATGCAAAGTCAGTATGTAGATCCACAACTCTGTCCAAACAAAAATGACTATTCAATTCAATAACAATGAAAATGAAATATTTCTTCTTTCGTGCTATGAATCTCTGTTTATTAAAAGAAGAAGCAAAAGGTTTCTACAGCTTTTGCCACATAAACAAATAAGATGTGTTGGAAAAAATTTCAAAATGTTTATGGCATCAGTCAGAGGAACAAAAAAAGAGACGAAAATGAAAAGAAGACAGATTTTCATCGCATCAACTCACAAAACAAAGTATGAATGTATCTATGAGGAAAGCTTGAAACGTGCGGTTGCGTTTTACGAAAAGGGAAACTTTTCTCTGTGATGTGGTTTTTATAGGCTATGATAAGAAGGCTTATTATGCCACTGAATAGCTCTATTTTAGTCATAGAAGGTATCGCCATATGTGTCCTATACAAATAGATTTAATGGAAGCATTTATTGAGTGCGGTTCTGATTTGGACATTTTGTCTTTGTTTGTTTAGAGGTCGTTCACTTATGACGTCCATCAAAAAATCGTATTTTTAGACCCCCCTCCCCCTTCTGTCACAAAAATTCTATAGAAAAAAATTTCCATTTTTTGAACTGTCACAAAACCCTAGACATCCTCCCCCTTAAATGTCGGACGTCATAAGTGAACGGTCCCTTATTGGATTTGGCTCTTTTTTAATACAGCGCAGCAGTTGATATAGAATTGATAAGCCATAATATGAATATTTACGAAAACATTCAGCTATGAATGAGTTCAGTAATAAACATTCTTTATATTATCATGCAAAAATGCAGAAGCTAATAATTAAGTAAAATGTAATTTAAGGAATCAAAACCACAAACAACCTTACAACACTTCCATACCTAAATGTACAGAAATAAATTAAATTAAGAATTTTAAACATTTTATAAAATCTGCTAAAATCACTCAAATGAACCTGAATTCCAAACAGTTGAGAATAAAACTGTAATTCACTTGCAGCTTCCAGCATATAAAATAAAACATCTGCAGCTTTTCATCATTTGACTTACTCTCAACCACAATGACTCACAGTAGCCGTTGTCTGGCTCATGACAGGCAATTTTCATGAGTAATTTGTAAAACTTACATTACACTGCAGAGATGCAGTTCTAACAAATTGATACATATTATGCTGTTTACATGAGATGCAGGTTGAAGAATGAACAACAAAAGATTTGCAGCTTATAGATGCAAAATGCATTCAAAAGCTTTATTAATTGAAGTTCAGTGTTCAGCTCTGATATCCAGACCCTTTTGAACTGTTTAGCATTGTATGAGCAGAGTGGAATCGATTGAGCTAGATGGAGGCGAACCATCGAGTGCAAGAAAAGTAGTCTGTGGCTGAATGGACAAGCAACCAACCAAAAATCTTAATTTTGTTTTGTAAGATCGTTGGTTGGTTCCTTTCATTTGATTTGTTAATCTATTTCATAAAATATGGTCCAAATGATAAGGAATCGTTTACTGCTCACAAAATTGCACGCTTATTGTCCTTTATACGATTGAAAAAGTCCAAGTTCAAATGCATAACTCATGTAGATTGCGTCAAAGTCCAAAAATAAACTAAGCTACACAAATATTCGTTCAGTCAAAAGTTTATTTAAAAGTCAGTCATTTACATCTGAATGTAAAAAGCTCATATATTTCCAGATAAGTGATTCATGCTGCTTCACTTACACTTGAAAGAACTGCAATAAAGTTGCATGTCACTTTCATAATTCAAAAAAAGTTGAACCACTGCACTATGAGAATTAAAAAAAAATTCCTACACTTTGAAATTTATTCATTTTATTTCAAATTACTCATGCTCCAGCTCATGTATGCAGCATACGAAAACTATGTGAGAGAATTTCTTTATTTCAACTCATAGGAGAATTGTCGTTGAATGACGGGACGGGGATGGTAAAAGAAAATTTGCATTTGTACATTTTTATAGCCCATTTGCGACTTCCCATGATGGAATAAAATTTATTCAAAATTCATGAGGCGTAAAATGGAGGAAGGAATTTCGTGCTTTGCTGTTTGGTTGGATTCTTATGAGAATATTCAGGCTTTTAATTTATGGCAGGAAGTTATCAATTATCTAAAGGAAAATCTTTGAAATTTCTTTTGATATGAACAGCCTTCAACGCCAATTTTAAGAGAGAATTGACTCATGGGAGCTTTTGAGTGTGGTGAGATACGGAGTGTGCTGTTGAGTTTTTTGTCTGAGCTGTCTTTAGCTGCAAACTGATTTTCAGTTTTGCTTATTTATTTCACATTCGAGAATTTAATTACTCGATCATCAATCGTCAACTTAACTTTTGATTCGAAACTATTTGCAGGTCCAACTCTGCTATTTTACAATCACAAAACTATTATACAATAAAACTGTAAGTCTAGATGGGAAAAGCAGGGTTGCGATACTGGCACCTCTCACAGATGAGAACCGTACAACTCCTTGATAATTTATAAGGTTTTTCTAAGAAAACAATATAAATTCTTATAAAACCTTACAAATTATGAAGAAATTGTACGGTGCTCACATGTGCACAGGTGCCTGTATTGCAACTCTGCCGGAAGAAGCATATACTTATGCGAAAAGAACATTAAAGGAAGCAATAAGAGCAACAACAATAATCATGCCTGAACATGAAAAAAACTTAACTTTTAATTTGTAGCAGACTAATTGATTTATCTTAACTGCTATGCTACCGTATCTTTTCTTCCTGCTGCTTAATGTTACTGTGGCTTGAGAAATGGTGAGAAATGATAGTGAAAATTAGCACCGAAAAAAATGTTTCAAAAGATTCATATTTTGATATTTTGTGTGTGCTGTAAAAGTTTATTATATCAGCAATGAATGCGAAAAAGAAGTATGACGGATGTGGATGGAGAGAAAATTCATTCTTCAATTCCCCACACAAACCACACAAAAGTGGGAAAGCAGAAAAAGAGCTCCAGGAATCAGACAATAAATCATTGCCATGACAAGACATTATTTGATTATTACAATTTTTCCCTCCGACATTTATCTAGCAAATGCTTGATGATGGTGATGATAAGGATGTATGAGTAGAAGTAGTGTTTATGCCAACTGACAGCAACTGTTAGTCTTAATTAGCTCAAAATGATAAATTGATTTGACATAATTTCTATCCTGAATGGTACTTGAAACTTTTATAGCCATTTCCTTCTTATCTTAGTGCAGTATTTTCTTACAATGTACAATGTGCTTTGCAAGATGATCATGGTGTTATGGGGAGCACTAGCCAGAGCAGAAATTTATCTCATAATTCCTTTCAAGGATTCTATCATCATAAAACGATATCAATCAATTCGATTTGCTCATGAATTCGTATTATTATTGCAGTATCAATATCCCCCTTTTTCGGATTGCTTTTCAGTTTTTTGGTGATGGTCTGAGATGAAGATAAAGATCCGACTTAGCAACTTAGTTTCAAGCAGGGTTGCGATACAAGAACCTGTACACAGGTGAGAACCGTACGATTCCTTCTTCTTCTTCTTCTTAAATAACTTTATTATGGTCCATCCGATTATTGCTATTTAAAGACCGTTCACAATTCCAGGTAGTTTAATTTACAAATATACACAAATAACAATCAATAAAATCCAGTCAACTCCAAATGGTTGACAGAAAACATGCCCGCGATAAGTCAAAACAACAAAAAACCATCGCTAGGCAAATACTTCCATCTTCAGTTGTCGATGATCCAGATCCCTTGACAGTCCTTCTTGTGATTCACCTTGCGATATTCCAAATAGATTCAAATTTTTTTTATGTCTCGATTGTGATCTGTCAATGTAATTAATATGTTCTGCTGTATTCCGAGATGATCGATTCCTGTTTGTCAATGTTGATTTGTTGAAATCCAGTCAGCACCAATTGATTGATAGAACTTGCCCGCGATATATGGGGAAACACACAAAACCTATGATAGAACCTTCTTGTCCACGATTGTTAGTAAAACACAAAAAACACACGTGAAACAATTGATTCTCCTCACAACTGCCACCGATCGTGATTTGTCAATGTAATTAAATGTTCTTTGGCATTCCGATGATGATCAATTCTGTTTTATCTAGATTATGTGCAAAATTTGCAATTTCAATTTATATCCAAAATTTAATTAAATCGCAACTTTGCTGAGTTTTCTCATTGGTTTCTTTGTTCTTTGTTACTTTGAAGACAGTTCCCGTAGGTTTGTGACTTATTCCTACGCGTAATTAATTAATTTTGAAGTATTGCACAATTCCACAACCTCCTCTTTCGGAGGTTGGGAGAAAACTCCCCATACGATTCCTTGATAATTTATAAGGTTTTTCTATCAAAACCATACAAATTCTAATGAAACCTCACAAATTATCAAGAAATTGTATGGTTCTCACCTGTGCACTGGTGCCTGTATCGCAACCCTGGTTTTAAGAGCAAATTTTAACTTTTTTTCAGCAATATTTCAAATATCTTACAGAAAATACAAGAGAAATTACACAAGAGCATATCCTTTCATCCATAAAACTTCTCTCAAGATCATTCTTATTTTATCACTATTTATTACATCTTTAGAACACTTCTCGTCACATCTAAAACATACAGAACCATCAAATTCGCCATAAAATACATTTTCTCATTCTCTTTAGATATTCGAAAAGGTCCAAAATGTTGCACCATATAAAGCATAAGAAGATGAACAGCCACATTAAAGCTTTATTTACCTCATCGTTTAAGCTTTCTCATCTGAACGAAAATGAAATGAGTTTGGAAAAACTTTATATTATCCACCATTTACTTTCCATTTCCTTTCGCATTTTTAAGCTTTATATCATTCTCTATCGAATTTCGTTTTTATTTTATTTTCTGTACGAGCAGCATGTGCTTAATAGAGAGAAGAAAAGGAAATCTGAATTGAAATGATTTTTTTTTCGTCTTACTCGACACAAAAGAAGCACAGCACAAGCTTGTTTTTTCTTGTTTGATCAACTGTCGTGAGAATTAAAGGATATTGAATTAAGTTTTTGACAGACTAAAGCTGGTTATGAAATTAAGAGGTGATTTAACGGTTTTTTTTGGTTTGAATCAAATTAGTTTGGATTTCCGCTTTAGGTGTGTGTCTTGGATAAGGTTGTATGTGTCTTGGATTTCAGAAACATTCGTACAGTTTTAGGACAGATTTGCAGCAATTGTATTGTTTTAAGAACATTTGTATTGATTCGTGACACTTAACAGCTCTTTATCCATTAAATACGCTCTTATCATCCACTAAAGAACGTTCCCAACTCATTTTTCCTTTCCATCTTTTTTCCAGCATCCGAATTTTTACGGTATGAAAAAAATAGCAATAAAGAAATTTATGAACGAGAAGCAAAAATGTGATAATCGTTTATGCTCATCGATTGACTATTTTGCTTCTTATTCATAGCTTGCCGTAAATCTATTACACTATTACGTCTCTCTTTTTGGGTTGGGGAAGCATCAAAGCATTTTGCGACAATGACAATATAAATTTTTAATACCCAAGCAATATAAACGCATAAATCGTGACATGAAATGATAAAAGAGGTGCGAAGGTTGAGGACATTGACGTTAATACGCTGATAATAACGATGTTTTCAGGCAATTTATTGCCCGAATAATTTTTTAACAGTTCATAAATTCGCAATAAATATAAACGAAAAATCAATTTAGAGTATAGCAGGCTCACCGTCGAGCATCTTTAGGAACGGCAGACGTTGAATGACTTCTGGTCGATAAAATACTTCTTCCATGCCTTGAACCACTGGATTTCCGTAAATATTGAAATCTGTGAGAGTTTTACTAAGTGCTGCAAGCTTTGAAACTTCATTCCAGTCTTTGATCGAATTGTATCCCATATAGAGCACTTTGAGCTTCTTCATTACTTCGATGCCTTTAAGTTTTTCAATTGAGTTATAGCTTATCCACAATTGCTCTAAAGAATCAGCCAGAGCATCCTACATACCGAGAAATATTTGAATTATATTCCCTAGCGAGACTAACGAGCAAATTGCTAGTCTTTCTATTCTACTACTTGCAATTTTTAAGTTATTATTAAAACAACTTACTATTAGTAAATTACACTTACTATTTAATAGCAAATTACCATGTGATCAAATCTGCTTAAGTTCAAATCCTACGAATAATCATCAACAAAAAGAATTTTTTGTGTCATGAAAAGAATTTTTGCGTCATAAAAAGAATTTTTTGCGTCATAAAAAGAATTTTTTGCGTCATTAAAACAATATATTGCGTCATAGAAAGAATTTTTTGCGTCATAAAAAGAATTTTTTGTGTCATAAAAAGAATTTTTTGCGTCATTAAAACAATATTTTGCGTCATAGAAAGAATTTTTTGCGTCATAAAAAGAATTTTTTGCGTCATAAAAAATTTTGTTCTAAATTTGGCATTTGCCATATACTTCACAAGAGCGCGCAGAAATCACCTTTATAAGGTCGATCCAAATTTGTATGTGACTTTCAATTACTTATTTATCTTCCTCAGGTTTGCGTGCGAGTCATAAGCGTTCATCAGTGTTCTTATATTTTTTTTCATAGTGTTAGTGTACTTTAATTAAGTTTACTAAGTGCACGCTAATACTTTTACAATAATCTACACAAATAAGAAAAATCAATAGAACACGTGGAAATCAACGGTTATATTCATTTAATTTTTTAAAAATTTGCTAGTAAATTACTAGTTAAATTGTAAGCTAATTGACTAGTCAATTAGCAAGTGAAAATGCGGGTCTTTGGCGATGTTTTGAACTTGGATTTTGACTAGTAATTAGCAAGTAGCAAATAGAAAGTTATCCAGTAAATTACTAGGAAATTACTAGTAAATTCCTGCTAGGGATTAAAGCTATAAACTTTAAAACTCACCAAACCAGCAAAGCTCTTAATGTTATTCCGTCCTAGTGCCAATATTTTCAAATTAGGAAGTGGTGGAAGGATGATTCGGTCGATGTTATTTGTAGATAAAGACAATTTTTCACAATTCTTAAGTGCAGCAAGCTCCATTGTCATTTTATCGATTGGTGGCATTTGAAATTGCAAACCGATTTCTGTCGCTTCCGTTGCTTTCATTTCATTCTTCTTCTCCCACTTTTCAAGTGCTTCCCGAATTGTTGTTGGTCTTTCTGACATTTTTGTGGATAAGAGGAGAACGAGAAAATTGTTCAAGATTTCAATTAATTTTGATGTTAATGGTTGCTGAGAAGAAATATAATCCTGTTTTATTCAAATTCTTTAACGGTTGCTGAGAAAATGTTCAAAATGTGCACGCTTTTAATTGAAATTTTAAAATTTAAATACCTGAAATAAATTAAATAACGGTGAAGAATTATTTGAAATTAAACGGTTGAAAAATATTTAAAAATTGACTATAAAACATATTTGAATTTGAAAATAGCGGTTGAAAATTTGAAGATTATAAAGGTTTAAATCACGACAGAAAGCCATTCATTCACGACATCCTGCATCTCAATAAAACACAAATAAAAAACCCAAAAATCAATGTCTTAATTATGAAATTTTAATTCTTTTATTATCCTTTTTATTACAAGAAGTTTCTTTTCTTTTAAGATTATCTTGCGATGACTGCTCATCAACATCCATGTCCTCTTCATCACTAGTATCTTCCTTTTCGTCCGAACTGGATGAATTAACGTCATCATATTTCATTAAAACTGGTGTCTTACCAAGACGTCGACTTTCAGCTGCTAATAAAACTTTTCTACCTAAAGTTGATACTGCTGCACGTCCTTGTTCTTCACTCAGTCCAAATATATAGCCTAGACATGCAACATCGTATGGATTTCTTATATGAAATGGATCTTTTGCCTCACTTGTCAAAATGATTCCTCGAGATTTGCCAATCATGTGATATTGTTGTGCTCTTGATATTGTGGCACGTCTCTCACTTGCATCAGTTATTGCAGGCGAGTATTTAAGCTCAAAAAACATGTTCCTTCTTATTGCGAGATAATAAAACTTTCTAGACAGTCGAATTTTAACTGTGTCTGCATTGTATGTGATTATATCGCCTAGGAATAGTTGACAACTGTGCTGAAGTGCCGTTTCTGTTGTTGGAAGTGCTGCAATCAAGTGATATTTCTTGAAATTCTGTGATCTATTGCAGGCATGACTGACTGATGGATCTGAATACTCAATTGTAAGACGATTGAATAAATTCAGTTTATTTTTCAGCTGTTCCTTATATTCATCTAGTTTTACTGGCTCTGGAATTAAATCATTGCCATTTTTCGAGTTTAAAGATTCGTGACTGTATGTTTGCTCGACAGCAACATTTCGATATCCAGCTGAAAACAACGTTGTTTTGTTTACTTTTAATAATTTTGATATTTTAATGCGATTTACTCACCTTCTTTCAACTCTTTGAATACATCCAACATCACTTCCTTATCCTCATTGTATGGCACACACAAATCACAAAAGCCATTGGCTATTTTAATCATTTTTAATGATTTTAATTTTTCTGACAATGTTTTGGTTGTTGTTGATGTTGTTATAAATTGTTTTGAATTTTAAAAGTCGGTTACAAAAAAAAGGGAATTACACTAAATTTGAAATTATTTTGACTGTTAGAAAATTGACAAAGTTAAAGCATTAAAAGCAGCATTGAGGAACAAAACATTAAACAATTTGGTTGAAAAACACTTGTTTAAAATCATTCTGCGAGAAGCAATCGATTAATTAAGACGTGAATATTTTTTTGTCGTCGGTTAAATAAATTTATTCAAGTGTTAAATTCTTGCCTTTAGAAATTTGCATAAAAAAGTAATGTTCTTATTTTATATAGACATTATTCTGGCATCTTTTATTGAATTTACAGTTTGGATAATTATCGTGTTTTAAAAGAAAGCAGAATAAGGAGAAAAAAGATCCAATTGCATAAAAGTGCCGGTAGCCAGAATTGTTCGTGCATTATTTTACACATCTTATCAGCAAGCTTTATAAAATAGTAAAGTGATAAGATAAGCTCACACATATAATTTGCCACATAACAATTGGAGTAAAGGAGTGAAATAAATAATTAACACACAGATAAATACATACAGTTAAAGTTAATATTACGTCAATTTTACGAGCTATAAAGTCATTTTTAAAAATTCATATTTGATGATATTGAAACAAGTTTTAAATCAAAGAAGCAATTAGAAATGTTAAATAGTGATGAAGCTAATAGAAGGAATTCATAGCTTAATTAATTAAAAAAAATGTGTTATTGTTAGTAGTGCCATAAAGGTCATCGTGCCTCGTTTCACATCATCATTATCATCTATATAGCTATATATACCTAGGAAAAAAAATAATAAATAAATATTAAGCCGATCACTTAGAAAATAATTAAAACGATGATTAAATATCAGCATCACTTAAATTCCCACGATGGATGGCTGTTCATCATTGCGACTTACTTGCTCACATTCATATTAAATGTTAATAGTTTCAATCTGGAAAATCGCTTACCAATTTACAAATTCGATACGACAAATAATTCATATTTTGGATATTCAGTGGCAATTCATCACGAGATAGAAGCAAATAAGAAATGGTAAGTGCTGCGGATATTATAATGGACATATAATGAGCGCCAATTAAGATCCCCTCTCTTTCTCTCTCTCTCCTTGATCTTCTTAAAGACTTAAGGGGTCGCTCACTTATGACGTCCGAAATTAACGGTCATTTTTCAAAAAAGAACAATGGATTTCCAGGAATTTCTATTGTTTTTTTTTTCTGAACCCCCCCCCCCCCCCCCCCCTGGACGTCTTAAGTGAACGGCTCCTAATTACTATTTAAAGATGCTAGTTAAAGATCTTTTTGGAGAGTTTGTTGGAGATAAAAAAATGAGGATTTGCAGGGATTGTGGATTGATGTTGTTGTATCTTCAAGTTCTATTTTGTGAGGCTTAGTATGACTTATCACTGAGAGGTTTTTGTCGGTAAAATAGAATTTTAGATCATCTTTTGAAGAAAGAAAATTAATAAGCTCCAAACTCAAAGAATTTCTGTCAATCCTTAAAAATTCCCGTGAAATCTAAAAATACAAAATTTCTAAAGCCAAACAAACTGACATCCATCTACATTCCCTGTCAAATTCGTACATCTTCCGATCATGCATCTATTCATAGTTAACAAATGAGATATATTTTGCGTCGTTTGGGTATAATGAATCTACCTGTTTATTTCTTCTTCTTATTCTTCATTTTCGTTAATAACATCAACAACACAGCACCGAGAGAAAAAGAGAATCAGGTTCTGTGCTGTCGAAAAAATCTACTTTTGTTTTAATGAACAAATACATAAGGGCTCGTTCACTTATTACGTAACGCAAAAAAACGAATTTTTAGACCCCCCCTCCCCCCCCTGTAACAAAGCGTAACAAAATCTTAGACCCCCCCTCCCCCCCCCATAACGTAACAATAATTTTTTTCATTTAAATTGTTTATCAAATGTTTATTATACTTCCTTTAAAATTTAAAATTAATATAGAAAAAATTATAAAAAAATATATTTTTTGAAAAGTTACGTAACAAAATTTAGACCCCCCCCCTCCCCCTGTAACAAACCGTAACAAAATCTTAGACCCCCCCTCCCCCCCCTAGTGCGTTACGTAATAAGTGAACGAACCCTAAGTTTATATTCATATTTCTTTTGAGAGTCCGTGTGATTCCAAATGTGTGTTCGTTCCTCTTCATCTTTGTATATCTTCAAGTGATACATGTGATGGTTCTCAAGCTGGAATGTCTTAAAGAAGAATGAAGAAATGTTTTTAACACAATGTTGACAAAAAAATTTATCATGTGAGAATTAGCATAAGCTGTACAAAAATTCCATTATTCTATTCTCTCTATCTTGTATCTTCACCTTCCACACAGGTGTAACAATTGAAAAATTTTGGCTATTGTGAAACTGACAAAAAATTACCTGAAGGCAAATGCATCCTGTTTTCATCCTTATTAGCCCGCCTTTTTTTCTCTAGAAAAAAATAAATTTTAACAATAAAATCGATCTCTTCATTATCCTTATCAGTAAACGATCCCTAACGTTGATGTCATAAATTTAAGATTCAAGTGCCTTCGCACACACAACATGCAATAGACAACAGACACAAAAAAAACTCCTCAATTGATTGAACCCGTATGATGCAATTCATTCTTTCTTTTATTTTTTTTTAATGAACAGAACAAAAAAAATGCTATTCTGACTTTAACACATGAATCTATAGTTGAGTTGGCGCTATATAACAGCACTACCCATATTATTGTTTCTAATATGAAAAAAGATAAATTTTAATAAAAATTAATAATGCCATGAAATGAGCAGCATACATGCTGCATAATGTAAACAATCTTAAACGTTCATTTTTCATTTATGAGCTGTATAATTAAGTAAATTGATGGGTTTAGGAATGGCGAAAACATTTAAATTTTTTTTTTGTGTTGTTTTTCTAAGAATTGTTGAAGGAATTGTGCAGTTATGAGGTCCAATGAGTAAAAGAATTGAGGGGTTTATTGATGACTATAAATTGAAGTTCTAAACAAGTTTTATAGCACTAGATTGACCAATCTTTAGTCAATTTGACACCGCTTAAAACTAAGTTACAATTGACTCTAGTGTAGCACACAGCATCCTCCAACAAATGTTGAACATCACTTACGAACGACTCCCAAAATAAACATGAAATTATCGCAATTTGGAATTTTTAAAATTAGGGTTTTCATATCTGAATGGACTCTATTATGTTTTTTAATACATAATTTCCATAACGACTATAATCTGAAACTAAGAATAAAATAACAATCCATAGAAAATTTAATTCGATTTCTGTGTAAGAAATGAAATAAAAATTCGAAAAAAAATATTGAGCGATAAGGAATACGAAGGATTGCTACAGAGAATATAATGCAATTTCTATAGGTTCATATTCGTGCTTATTTACTAACATATTGGAATGCTGATAAGAAAAATATTATTATGCTCGAGAATAAACTCAATAATCAAATTTCAATGACTGATTCAGATGATCTCATTTCATTCTCATTTGACTGTCGTTATTCTTGAACTTGAATCATAAGGGGCCGTTCACTTATGAAGTCCAGGGGGGGGGGGGGGGGGGGGGTTCAGCAAGAAAAGAACAACAGAAATTCCTGGAAATCCATTGTTTTTTTATGAAAAATGACCGTTAAATTCGGACGTCATAAGTGAACGACCCCTAATGAGATTTTAATGTCTTCAATAAAAAAAATGATCATATTAAGTGAAATGCGATGGATCACTAGATTTTAATTTGAATTCTACTGACTCAGTTTCTTTAGAGTGAGTTATTCCTAGAGCAAGATAATGGATGTAATTAAATTAAAATGAATCAGATTATGATGTCAAAAAAGAATGCAATTAAAATGTTTACAGGAATTAAAGTTGTTTAAAGTAATACTATGAACACATTTTCATTCATAATCTCTACAATTTCAAAAAAATTTTAAAATTATTCAGTATTTTTGAGATATTGTGAAACATGAATTGTATTAGAATATTAAATTTGAACATTTTTTTGTTAAGAAATCTTATTTTTATAATACATTTCAGTTGTTCCTTCATGATTGTGAATTTATAGGTTAAAAATGTTCGCTGACTAGATAATTGAACTTGTTTTCACTCCTTTGACTGTTAAAATCAAGAATCTCTAGTAATTAAGTATGCAGCCTCTTCAAGTCATTTAAGTCAGTTTCCAGAAAGCTAGATAGCTTTAAATCCTCAATACATCGTCAATTTTTAATCATATGGTCTTCAAACAGACAACAACATCTTCTTCATTGTTGTTGTACTAATCTAGACACCAGAGTTACAAGATTCAACCTTTTCAAGGGTATTAGAATGATAAGATATAACGATATAAGCCGATGTAAGATTAATCATCAAGGCTACCGCATAGATTATATTGTTTCTTATCGCCACATGTTGATCACATTGTTTTAAAATTGGAAATTCACAACTCAATTTAGCTTGAATATTCAAGTTTATTATTTTATGTTCCTTAAAAATCCAGCCAATAAACACAAACAAACAATGTAGAATTCCATTAAACGGCACATTATGATTTTTTTACTAATCTCATATTTCCATTTAAATGCGCAACTTTTAAAAATTAAGACGTTGTAATTTGATCTTTCGGACAATGTCTTTTTAGGCATTTGAAAAAGACTGTTGATTATTTCATAACTATACAGAAGCTTGCAAGTGACTTTATAATATTCAGGAATAACACAACTGTCTACAGTAATTTTATTCTAATATATAATTTAATTAACAATCTATGTTCATATTGACCCATTCGTATTTAAAACCCACACACCTTCAATTTGAACATTCCAATCGAATGCTGCATTTAAATGTTTTCCAGCCTCAAAAGTATTAACGACTAACTCAATTTAACGAGATCCATACGAACATTTTTTTTAAATCCTTTCGATACATCGCATTAATAATATTCTTAATATCTTTAAGCCGCTCATTGAATTCATTTTATCAGTTCTTAAAAATAATCTCATTTACTCAATAATGTCTCTCACATGCTGCAATGTTTTGTCTGACATTTGAATGTTTCAGACCCCAGCGTCTAAATTGCTGAATGAACGCACAGTTGCCAGCTAAACATATTCCAATTTTCCACTGTTATTAAAATTTATTTTTTTTTTGTGGTAAGCACAAAGCATTTTTTGTGTAATAAACCATTTCATTTCATTTCCCTACACAAGTATAATCAGCAATAATAAAATTAAGTCATTTATGCGCAAAAATCAAATTTCACTGCCTTCATTCGTAACGCCCCATTTACGGAATATACAAAAAAATTCTTTTGCTATCATCTTGACAATAATTTATTTAGTTTTGCATAGCTATGGACATAACAATTTCCGGGGGGTTCTTTTTATTATTTTGAAAAAAAAAACTAGAGTGAAAAAAATAAAAATGTAGGACAATAAAAATCAATGTCAGTGAGAGAGATATCAATGAGAAAGCGCATAGAGGGTGTGTAAACATAACATCAAGTCTCATACTGATTTATTAAGCATTGTTGTCTCTTGCACATAAAAAATGTCTATCGTCATTTTGACAACAGAATAAGTCTTATTTTATTGATTTAAATCTCAAAACAAAAGCATTAAGTTTATCCGTCAAAATAATCTACACGAAAAAGTTGTTTTTTTTTGGTGTTAAAAAAAATGAGAATAGAATATTTTTTTTCTTCTAACAATAAGAATGGAGAATTCATGTAGATCATAAACACAACATGCAACCTTTTTCTGAGGCACTCCTTAATATACAAATTTTTCTCTCTTTTATTCATGACGACATACAGCGAATTATAATAAAAATAATGATAATAAAAAGGCACTATTTAAATGGAAAATGAAATGTAATGTTGTTCTGAATATCTAGGGAGATGGATAGTAGGAGCGCATTATAATGGACATAGATCAGTTTAATTTATCAACATGCAATTCAAATGAAGGCTTCTTAAGCTTCATTTTAGGTGATATCCTCGCAAACA